TTTTGGTGTTCGTCTTCGGGTATGTTTTTCTGCCTTGGACTTGTTTTTTGTGCGATTAATTGAGGATGGACATGCCTAGAGCAAAAAAAAACGAAAAGCCGCGCTGGTATCAACTCCTGACCTTGTTGAAGAGGTACCTGCAGAAGTCACCTGAACGCAATCGGACATCGCCAGAGGAGCGTCTAATGATGACGTTGCAGTAAGTATCCAAATCAGTTCATTTTTGCATAAATGACTAAATATATTAATTCAAGGTCACTTCTTAAAATAAAGTTCAATCACGTTCAATATATTGAACTTTTTCTTAAGAACCAACCAATCGGATCACTAGCGTTGGTCAGCTGATCGCTACAGCCGGAATTAGAAGATTGGTACGAGCAATCGATACTGTACAAAAGTCGATAGTCGATATTTATATCGTGATGTTTGATCGATTTTATATCCCTGTATGGGCAGATGGTTCGGTGATAGTTGTATGAAAAATTATTTGCGCTTGCTTACGCATGACAGTTTAGAGCTGAACATCGGGGCGGATTGATAAAAAAAATCAGAGATGTTAAAAATTATAATAAATAAAGTTAGTGGTCATGTTTACTTCATCCCCTAACAAAGTGCGTATACTGGCAGTTTCAGCAAAACATATCAGTATTGCTACAGCATAAAGTAGATCAAAAAACAGCATGAAAAAAATAAAAATGGGTCCTAAATTGCCCGTTACCAAGATAGAGGATTTTGAAATTATATTCTAGAGAACGAAAAAAAAAATGGAAATGATCTTAAAATTTTGTGCTTCATAGCTGATAGATGCAAACACTTTCATGTCTGAGACTGTACCAGTGGTGATGTTGGCAAATTATAGCCCCTACAGAAGAAAAAAGAGAATTTAAATCTATACCATGCCCCCCATGACATGTTTTTCCAAAACCTCACAGAACACTGTGAAGGTACTTTGTCATTAACTACGAACCAGGTGTACACCTGGCGAATGCTGTGTATTCGCAGCCCACCAAATATGTAATCTCTTTTGACGTTTATTGAGGTAAACAGATGAGTAGCACATAACTTTTCTTGTGTCATCTGTACTGTTGGTAATAACAAATCTGGTAAAGGCCCAAATTAAGGACTGACGTTTGGTATCACCAATGAAAATTTGTTTACACACAGAATTTTGGCAATCAAATATATATGTATACTGCTAGATTGGGAATTTATACATATGTACAGAGCAGTATCATCTGAAGGGGCGTGGTGAGATGACTATGTTTCTGTTTAGTGTTTGCTGACCAAATATGACAGTGATATTATGCTAATAATTTTTTTTTGTTTCACAGTGTCAACATCCTTCGAGGAGACAGTTGGAATGAAGATCGTCATTTATTTTATGGATACCAAATTAATTGTCAATGACATAAGGAGTTTGTTTCCTAGTTTGAAGAAACAATGAGTGTTTTATGTGTTTTTTTTTTTTTGTTGAGAACAATTTTATTTGCCTTTACCCATTAAACAGTGTGCGCAAAACTATTTTTGATTCACATATTAGAGTGATTATATTTGTATTCCAGTCAGTCCTCTAACTACAGATGTATTTTTTGTTATTTTAGTATTTATGTTTTCGCAATAAATATACATGATCAATTAACAAGAGATAGTGCTTGCATGATATTGCACTGATCAGGTTCATAATATAGAGAAAAATCCAGGATGTGTTATGCATCTATGATCATCGAACTGCCTCAATATCGGGAAGGTCGTCAGTCAGATTTCGTAATGTAAACAACTGAAATCGCCGACACATTCCTGATATGCGTTGTTGGCATACTTTCAATATTTTTAGTTCCACCAGATTTCCAGCCAAGAAAGGTAGCGCTGCCGTCGTTATAGTCCAAGAAATATCTTCACATCTGCTCAGGAAAATATTCGGATTCGGACTTTTTGCATGTTATTCGAAAAAGCCTCCTAGTAACAAATCTACATGTTGACAGGCTCCAAATTGCGTCTCTAATTGTTTGAACAACTTTTTCAAATAAATTACAAAAATTAATGTTTTCGCTTCATCAAAGGTAGCATTCGTTTTTTTTTTTTTTGATACTCCGAAACAAAACGATGTTTGACAATGTTTGTCAAAATTTGATTTTGTACGAGATGGGAAAGTACAAAAAATTGATTTTGCGATACCGAAAAACGATCTGAAAAAACGAAAATGTTAATGCCGCCATGCTTCATAAATAACCATTAACGATACCTTTTAGGAGATACTGTTATTATAAATCTTTGTATTTAATTGATATGCAAGCGGACGCTCAATGCATATTCAGCATGCACGAGACATATTTCATCTCTCTCGCGTTCACATAGACATAGACTATACATTGAGCGCGCATTCAAATGTTCTGGGGGTTTTGTTATTGGTTGGTTGACGCATGTGTGAGATTTGGCAACATCAAAATATTCATTTTTCATATTGTTTTTAGGGTAGCAAATGACATATTTTGAGTTTTTACATTGCTTATACCTGTATATATCAAGTCTAGAGAAAAGTTCTAAAACTCATTTTTTATTCAGAATGTGCTAAAAACAGCAAAATACTTTAAACAAAGCGAACAAATCAATTTTTGGAATCGGTTTAATAACAAATTTTGGGCCTAGTCACATGCAGATTCTTTAAGAGGTCCTTGAATCAGATTATGCAAAAATAGGAATCGGAAGAGTTTTCCGAGCAGATATTCCGATATTATCTGGACTATTATCCGAGTTCTGTGACTAATTACTAGTGCATTGGCGCAAGCGTGGGGGGAGGGGCCACTTGTCAATGTCAAGGCTGGTCCGCCAGTCCACGTGACACATAAGCCACAAAACACTTTCATCTGCTACCTTGACGTTAAACATATGATTTTGTTAGTGTGTTTAATGTTGATATTGTCGCCATTGCTACATTGGCAATCCTGGCCGCTAGCGATGATCTTAGCAGCGACTTGCAAGTCGCCGGGATACCGGTGACAGCGACCTTAAAGTCGCCGGTAGATTTAGCAGCGCTTTAGGTCACTGTTTATCTATGGTCGCTGCCACCAGCCAGCGACTCCCTGGCACTGATTAAATTACTCGATATTTGGCGGCGGTTATCCATTGATATTAACGAGGTGTAGATGTTCAGGTTCCTGAAGATTTGAATTAAACTATATTTAAGGTTTTTGTTTTTAACAATATTGAGCACAAAACACATAAAATCATAAAAATATCTTTCTATGAATCTTAAAAAGTAAAACAAAATACTATTTTACCAGTCAAAATAAAACTTTTAAAACATAACAAATGTAGTATAAAAATGCTTCTTTTATATGTTAAACATTGCTTAATAAACGAAACATTTTTCTATGAAACAGGAACTCACAACAATAACAATAAAAACTAACAAAATAGGTTAGGCTACGCTGTAGCGACCCTGTACTTCCCGCGCGATGATCGCGAACGCGATGTGTATATGCTTCCTGGCAGCGACCGCGACCGAAACAGCTACCGATCAGTGGTTACCGATACCGATACTTCCAAACAGCGATCTGGGTCGCTGCTTCATGGAGAATCAGGTCGCCGGGACTAACGGCGACCATTCAAGTCACCGGGAAAGGTCGCCGGTACCGATATATCGATCATCTCTACTGGCCGCGCATGCGCTTTAAATGCTCATTTTCTTAAGTTACGTTAAGTCTTGCATGAATCCACCATTTTATAGTATTTACAAGTATATTACAGCTTTGGGTACTTACATTTTTATACTTCACAAAAGGCATATGCCTTAAAGAACATAATAGGGACTTTATTCAATCAAAATGAAATGTTTATGTTACGCACAACGAAAATGGCTTGCTGAAAATGTAAGGTTATTTTTGCAAAGCACAGCCATAGGAAGAAACCCGCCGGAAATTTAAATCTGACCAATCAGACAACGTCAGTTGTAAATAAGCCGCCATTTTTTTGGGGGTGCGACATGGTTGTCATATTGTGCACCCGCAATACTGCTTTATTTCCCATTCGCTCATATATGAGTTTCTCCACAAAACATATACACTGAACAAGGTTTAACTCCCTGCTATTCAATGCCAACACGGTGACTTGTATGGTTGTCAGCGGCTATTTTTTGAAGGTGCGACATGATTGCCAGATTCTGCAGTAATATCCCGCAACGTTGCCAGCTCTACATATAAATCTGAGATTGCTTTACTTTTATATATATATATATATATATATATATATATATATATATATATATATCCAGATTAGTTAGTAGATATGAGTGATCTTATAACAGCTTGCGTTATTGACGTTGCTATTTTAATATACAAAAAAGCACTTATTCGTCAAGATAGCGCAAAATGTTAATAACACATGCTGTTATAAGATCTCCCATATCCCACTAAATTTCTATATATAAAAGTATAGCAATCTCAGATTTATTTGTAGAGCTGGCAACGTTGCAGGGTATTAATGCACAATCTTTCAACCGTGTCGCACCTCAAAAAATGGCCGCTGACAACCACACAAGTCACCGTGTTGCCTTCTTCGTGTATATGTTTTGTGATCCATAGCACAGATTAAACCACATGGGGTCGACTGAGACTTGACAAGGCGCAACACAGGAAATCTGGCAACGTTTTTCACGGTGAAAAAGCAGCCGGCAAGACTGTCAAGATTGATACTGTCACTTGTCTTGATATTAGCGGCATTCACACGTACACTCAATCACGCGTTCTTGGAACGTTCCGCTCCAAACGCGCGTTCAGGACAGAGGACTGGAGCGTGGCGCGCTAAGATCGTTGCAGTAAAAAGAGACATGGTTTTATCCTTCATTCTTTCTCGCGGCCTAAAACGGCAAGGTTTTATCCCGTGTGTGTGAACAAAAAAAAGTATTGTTCTCGCGTGATTGGCACGGCGTTTGGATTTTCAGGTAAGTTGGACATTTTTGTTAACATTTTACAAATTTTATATATATTAAAAAAATATTTTAGGAATAAATATTGAAAAGAAAAGAATTATTGTCATCGCTGCTATGTATACTTACTATAGAATTTTAAAAAAGAAGGACAAAAAGCGTTATATAAGAACATGGATTAAGAAGTGGAAAAAAGATCGGAATCTGTACGGGCATATGCCCCTTGTTCACAAACTCAAAGAAAATTATCCTGACGACTACAAAAACTATTTGAGAATGGATTCACACACATTTGATAAATTATTTACAATGATAACACCTAAAATAATTAAACAGGATACAGTTATGAGGCATAGTATTTCGCCAGAGGAGCGATTAGCGGCAACACTTAGGTTTTTGGCAACTGGGCGTTCTTTAGAAGTTCATTGCAGGAATTGGTGCTTCAACTCTTTGTGATTTGATTCCCGAAACTTGTCGAGCTATATATGAGTCTTTGAAGGACGAGTACATGAAGGTGAGTTTATTTCATACATAATTCCACAGGGTGGGGAAAAAGTATGGAAACCCCTAAAAAGCTGCTAAGTCATTATCAAATTCCTCGTTAAAAATTACATAAGAACCAGTCTTTATTATTTCTGTTTTGCTTAAAACTTTCCCCACCCATTACTTTCTCAATTTGAGTTCGCGAAATGATACGCATCATAACATTAATTACATGAGTTTGAAAATAAACACCAAATTATGAAAATGAACTTTATTTCAATAAATGCATTAACAAACAAACTAGTAATACTAAGAAGATCTTATTTTGTATTGTTTATAAAATCAGAAGAGTTCTCATAAAATAATGCAGCAGTAGAATCCTGGGAATTATTATCTGCAACTGCAGTTGCTGTGTGGTGTGAATACTGCGTCTGCCAGGAATGACAAACCTCTACAGGTGTGTAAGAACATGAACTTGCTGGACGTGAGACGTTACTGCTGCAGTCTGTCGAGAAAGGTGGTTTAAATCCATCAGATATATTAGTTTCTTGTGATAAAGTACCCAACAAACCCTTTGTTAGTACTTGATTAATAATACTCTCCGCGTATATTGCTCGAGTTGGTTGCATTCTCTGCAATTTCTTGGCAACGCTAATTCCGACAGCGTCAAATTCGGTAATAGGCATACTTGGTTGAGAGCCCAATGCTGTTTTGCAAAAATCAACAAATTCCTTGCTTTCAGTGGAAACATGTACTTTTCTCTTATTTGCTCTTTGACAATTATCTTTTTTCTTTAATGTACTTGTGGATGGCGATCCAGTACTCTAAAAAAATATTAATTTAATTTTAGTTCATTAATTAGTGCTTTTGTTTTTAGTTCCCGACTAGTAAAGAAGAATGGATTGATATTGCTAAAGGATTTGAAAATAAGTGGCAGTTTATCAATTGTGGAGGTGCTTTAGACGGCAAACATATAAGGATTGTCCCGCCTCCTCACTCAGGAGCACAATATTATAATTATAATAATTTTATTCAATTGTTTTGATGGCCCTGGTGAACTCCAACTACGAATTCATTTTTGTTGATGTTGGAAAAAACAGTAGACTATCCGATGGTGGTGTAATTGAATATACCGAGTTCTACAGAAAGTTGCTGAAGTCGGAACTGAATTTACCAGATGAAACTGAAACAAAAAATAATTTCCCCTATGTGTTCCTTGGAGACGAAGCATTTAACCTGGGTGAACATTTTCTCAAACCATTTCCACAAAAGGATCTAAATTACCAGAAACGCATCTTTAATTATGGGTTATCCAGAGCTAGGAATGTATCAGAAAATGCATTTGGCCAAATAGCTGCGAAATTCAGAATTCTGCACACAGCAATAAACATGACTCCAATCAAAATAATATATGTAGTGTTAGCCATTTGCACATTACACAATTTTTTGATAAAACTAAAAACACCGTATGCAAAGAATTTCACGTTTGATAATTATTGTAATACTAATGGCCAGGTTCAAATGGAGGACTGGAGAAGCGAAAGTGTAGAACTGACTAGCCTACAATTGAGAACACCAAGAAATGTTACCTCTTTAGCAAAAGAGGTCCGTGAAGCTTATATGAATTATTTGAATGGAGATGGATGGATAGAATTTCAAGATGAAATGCTTCGAAAAGGAAAAACATAGAGCCAGGACATATATGAAATGGATTTCGCATAGTAGCAAACTTATGCATAAAATACTAAACCTAGTTTACCCATAATTATTTAATAACTAATGTGTAATTTTTAATTTTCAATGCGTAAAGTTAAACATGTGGTATCCCATTGACTTTAAACTTTTAAAATTAAAAATAAAACTAAGCTTAATTTGGTAAATATGTTATGTGAAATGTACGATAATGAGAAATAAATATACTGTGTAAACTTACTTGTGTGGTGCCTTCAATATTTTCCTCTACTTCTGTAGGTCGAGGATATTCTGGTAATTCCTGCTCCAAAATTTGCCCTTCAATTTCATTTTCTTCAATATTATTTATACTGTTAGTCGGCATTTCCTGATCCTTCGTAAAGAGTAACAAATCATAATACCACAATGAAGATATGTAGACGTCGTCAGCAGAAGCACCACTTCTTTTTGACTCTTCTACCTTTTTGACCTCTTTTCGAAAAGGTCCTCGCAAGCCCTGAATTTTTTTACCACAAAATCTCGGTTTGCTTCTGGATAAATACTTTTACACAGCTTAACTAATTTGTCGTATACTTCATTTTTTAAATTTTTATTGGTATATTCTTTCGAACGAATTTTCCATAAACATGGATTTGCTTTGTACCCTTCTATGAAGTTAATCATGAAATCTCTGGACCAATAACGGGTGTCAACCATTTCTAAAACCGCCGTACCTCGCCGCACGCACATAAAAAATAAAGCCAAGCTAGTCCCGCGTGATTGGAGCGACAAGTGCAGCGTGCGTTCTGACACGTTTGGCGTGTATTACCATTCACACACACGTTCATTCGCGCGCGATTGGAGCGGGACGTTTCAAGAACGCGTGATTGAGTGTACGTGTGAATGACCCTATTGTCACTTGTAGAGATGATCAAAGTTGCGATTTTGTGATCGCAGTTAAAACTGCGATTGCGATTTACCACTCACTGCAAGTGCAACCTGTGATTGCGATTTGAAATTGTGGGACTGTTATTTCATTATTTCCCTTCTATAAAAGGTTAATTACATTAAATTGGTCATATTTATGTCTTATGTGTTAACAACTGTTATCACAAAAAAGAAATTACATTGTATTTGTGTTATAAAGGTTAGGAGAAATGATAATACCTTTTTTTAAATCTTATAATTCAAAATTTTTAGATTTTATTAAAAATGAAAACAAATGTCTCTTATAATTATAATTTTAATTAGAAGAATGCAAAAACTAAACCCAACAGGTAATATGTTAAACTGCAAACATTTCTTTTCAAGAACTTAACAAGGTTGGTTTATTTGCAGCTACAGCTACAGCTGGGTGTTTTGACTCCATGTGTCTTCTCAAATTCTTTGTACTAGTCTTATATGATATTTTGGCTGCACATATATTACATTTTGCGAAATTTTCGTCGATTTCGGAAAAAAAATTTCCACAAATAACATATTTTCCTCTTTTTAAACATTGTTGAAACTGAATAAAATAATACTGGCTAGTCAAACAAAAAACAACCTAGAGATTGAAAATAGAAACCACCAATACCAATCCTAACAATTCGCATTCGCAGCTCGCAACAGTCACAACTCACAACCATATAAAAGCAACGCCATCCGCTCGTTTTTAACCGCCAATCGCCACTCGCATGTGTCACTCCCAAAGCGATTGCCGCGATTGTACGGTTGGGTTGATTGCATGCCTACCGGCTCACGCGAACCCACTAGCTCGCAGTGTGCTACGGAGTAAATCGCAGTTCGCGAGTTTTTGCTCATCTCTGGTCACTCGTCTTTCTTCAACGTCACCGCTATCAAGCTGCCATTTTTCATTTACCGCTAAGCTCTTTCCTCGTCTAAGCCACTAAGAATGTGCCGACGCGACGTGTAGAGCTTGGAACAATGCTGCTCCGAAATAATTAATATATGTATGTAGGTAAGATGTGATAATGAAATAGAGCAGTTTTACTTTTGATATTTATTGGAATTTAGAGTATGTCATCAAACCCTCAATTAAGCATGCGTTTATGTCCACCTTGGAAAAAAAAAACATGAGTAAAATTTTCTCACTCCACTCGGTTCCTTTGTGCTTCGTTCTCAGTAAATTTTGTCTTTAAAAATTCAAATTTTGATTCTAATCGCCAATTTATCCTCAAATGTATCTCCATAATGACCAATAAATTGATTTGCATCTCAGCCGTTTTCGATCTTTAGCATCGCTTCGAAATTATAGTGATATTATATATCAACCCTGCTGTTCTGAAAATACTTAGCCGATTTAAAGCGAAACTGACTTTGACAAAAAGCAGTACAAATTATCACAGTATTGAAGGTTTAACCGTTTAACGTGTACACGGCAGTCTAAAATATGTAATTCTGCAAAAAAAATCTTGGAGCACTTTTTATTCGGAAATTTGTTTTTCCAAAATACTGTGACAAGAACAAATAGTACCGTTGGCGCCATCTATTGGGAGACTCTCCTACTCGCCAGCCAGAGCTTCATGGCCGATCTGCTATTACGCGGATCACGACCGCACATGCCGCATGGTGACATCTGTGAGGACCGTGTCAGTGACTGAGCTAGAAACTAGGCTCGTGGAAAATTGTGCCAACCTAGTAGAAGAGCAAACAAATAAATAATGTTTGTCGCCGCTACTGATTCTAACCTAAAACCATGAAACACATGACATCTCGTGGGAGCGTAACGAACCATGCTTCCAATGGCAATGTGTCCAACCTTGTAAGGCATTCGCCACATCGTGTGGGAGCGGTTTAATACACAAAATATACACTGAAAGAATGCTAACTCAGTGTAATTCAACCAGCAACACGAATGTCCCTATGTTGTCGTGGTGAAAGAACAAATATGACACAGACAGAACGCCTGCCTACTCAGAACAATTCGACGAATGACATATGCTGCCATGTTTCTTACAATGGCATACGGCGGTGCTCTCATGGTTGCCTACTTTCTCACCACATCTGTCACTCATTGTCATCTTTATTTGGTTGTTTTGAATGGTTTTCCTAATAACAAAAATGAATTTTGCATTAGGAAAAACAAAAAACAATTCAAACACCTAAAGTGCATTTGCGATTGGGTTCGTTCAAGAGTGATAAGTAAAACAATATAATTAGGAAAATAACTTTATTCTGGTAGATAACGTAATGTGGTGCATTTGCAATATAGTGCAATGAAGAATCAGAAAGCTCCATGTGAGGTTTCTAAATAATAATTCGAATATACGATCATAAGGAAACTACAAAAAACCCATGATACCAGACTCAACAAAAATTCAATAACAAAAATATTGTGAAATCTGTATGTAAAGGGTACAAGATTTCGTTAATCAAACATAACATTATACTTCTGAATAAACATTGATTCGCAAAATTTTACATTAATAATAATAATTTAATAACTCAACATAAAATTCTAAACACTAAAATAAAACACAATTCTATCACAATATGGTAAAAATGTCCTGGTCAGGTATGTCACAGCCGGGTTTGTGACGGTTCGTCCATGGAGGTACAAAAATCTGCAATCGAAGTTGCACATACCTCCTTCATCTTCTGGCCTCCCAAAATACTGAACTGCAACGTCGCATTAGCGCCTAAGGTGGTTGAGCAAGTAGTGGCGAAATGATATGGACTATAGAAGAGTAGCGTCACTCCGTCGTTGAAACAGTTTTTGGCGAGGTGTCTGAAATTACATTGTGGTATACCAAATCCTACATGCAGTTAAACTGTGATGTCTGTGATATAGCAGCTAGTCAGGAGGAAGGTAAACATCCAGGAATGAAGGTCACCTAAAGGTAGTTGACCGCAAAACACCGGATTGTTTTACGCGTTGCGAAACTAGCAGGAAGTGGGGTGCTAATATTTCGATGCTCCGGGTTGGAGCGTTACTGGTTACGCGCATCGCCGCGTTATTTAGTAGTTAGTTAGTATTTGGCTGTAATAGGGGATTGATTGTCGCACATTTTATGTTTTCTTTTATTGTACGCTTAACAATGGAGAGCGACAGTGATGAAAGTTTCGATGGGGTTGATATCGAAGGTGTCGTCGATGAGAGTTAGTCAGGTACAAGTTTGGATGTTTCAACGACGAGTTCTGATTATATTAACTCTGAAATTGTGTTGCTTGCGCGTAATTGGTGCGAGTTAGGGCCTGATTCCCCGGAACCACCAGCTTTTCCATTTTCTGCCAGACCTAGTGTTCATTTTCACTCCGATGATGAGGACAATTTACTGCAATTTTTTGATGCTGAGATAATCGATCACATTGTTACTGAAACCAATCGTTATACGATTCAAAAGAAATTCAAAAAATGGTTCCCAGTAACTGCTGGTGAAATGAGAGTATTTTTGGGGCTTATAATTCTTCAAAGTATTATAAAAAAACCTGAAATGAGGCAATATTGGTATAAAAACCTTTATTACTGACACCTTTTTTTGCAAAATGCCTGAGCAATAAAAGATTTGAAGCAATCAGGTCAAATCTACATTCTGCTGAGAACGAGACCTTTGACGCTGAGCACCACCCAAACCCAAAGCTAAACAAGATATGGCCGATATACGACAAGTTAGTGAATAAATTTCGAGCTACAGTTACTCCAGAGAAACATGTGGCAATTGACGAAAGTCTTTTATTATACAAGGTAGACTTGGCTGAATCCAATATATTATTGGTTGTGGACTATAACGATACCATGGGTGGAGTGGACCGAGTGGACCAGCACTTGGCTGACTATACTTACCTTACCAAGAAAAAGAGGTAAAAAATATTATGAAAAAATATTTTTCCACCTTTTGGATTTATCCCTATGGAACTATTTTATAATATATGTAAAAACGGGCGGAACAAAATCAGCACTTGTATACCGATTGGAGCTTATAAAGCAAATAATGGAAAAATATCATCAAACTGAGTTTACTCCAAGAACAGGACGACCTTCAACCCAGCTCACTCCGCTTCGTCTGACAGGACGATATTTTCCAGATCTTATTCCAGCTACTGGGAAAAAGACAAATCCAACCAGGCAATGTGGAATTTGCAACAGGGCTCGAGATGAACGCGGAAAGAAGATTAGAAGAGAAACCAAATATTACTGTGCAGATTGCGAAACCCCCTTGTGTGTGACTCCATGCTTTAGGATTTACCACACAGTTGCAAATATTTAGAACAATGTTTTTTTTACTTACTTACATATAATTTTTAAGTTTTAGATATGTTACCTTAGGTATGTTCCTCAAATAAATATTTTTTGTTGTTGCCCGAGTTAACTCGGGTAAGCACATGTATAAAAATAAATGTAAGTTTTTTTACAAAAATTCAGGGTTTTATTTAATTTTTAACTCTATAAAATAAAATAACTTTCGATTTAGTTCAAAATAAGAAAATAAAAAGATTAGATTTTTTTACCAATTTTTGAAAAAAAACTAGATCGTTAAGCGGTTAACTAACTATTATGGATATTCAGATTCATGATTCCGCCACAATATGATCTGTATGAATATTTTGGTGAACAAATCATAATCAACTGTCTCTACCCACACTCCGCCGATACACGACGCGAATTCGTACCTAAAATCTCCCAGCGTTTGAGAAGCTTCATTCCATCCAGGGCCTTTGATTTCTTACCTTTCGTCTTTCACTCATACGCAATTGGTCTATCAAATGCTCAAGTTGATGATTCCATTATTACCAACGGCAGATAATGATATATCAATTTTCCTATTTTTAAATCTTCAGAACACAACACTTAAAAATACGAAATATACACAATCCTTAAAGTGTTTTGAAGGGTGCTCCATGTAAAATTTCTCTAAGAATTCTAGTTGCTACGCTCAAAACTCTTATTGTTATTGTAACCTGTTTATCGCATGTCCTTTCGGTAATCATTACCGTGTATGTTTAGCTTTTGCTTATGCTGGGGCTACATTAGCGGGCTACGGCGAATATTCGGGCTACGGCGATGTGTGTGGCCGGGTACATCGTTACAACGCGGTGTATTCGGGCGAAGACGATGTAACATCGGGTCGCTGTCGGTAAACTAGCACGCATCAAAGGGACTTATCGCGACAATATTCGCATGTCTGGCTACACCTGCGTTACTTCAGGGTCGTCCAGACTTTGAAGCGAGACGGACGTGCGTGTGTTTTGCAGAGATAAAATATACAGGGTGACTTCGAAGTTGAGTCATTTATTTTAACAGTGAGTAGATCTGATCAAAAGAAATGTTTTTTTCCTTTACCATTTTTCTGGTAAAAT